CATTAATTGTTTAATTAAATAAAATGTTTATTACCATATAATATTCATGATTTTTCGATATTCATATAAATTTCAGGAGAATCTGTCTCAGTCTATATCTCCAGATGACTACAATGACTGCAGGAGCATACTTAGTCGAGCATTAGATGTTCGTGAGTATTCCGGTTGGGTGAGGGGTATGAGACATGGGGTCACTCCAACATCCTTGAAAAAGATAAATCCAAAGACAAAATCTCCTAGCAATAAAGAACTACAGGCAAAGTTGCAAGCATTAGAAGCTGAAGTTCGTGAATTGAGAAAGGAAAAAGAAAGAGATCAATCAGAAAGGGAAGCTTTAGGTTTTAAAGATACTAGTGGCAAAGCTAGTGTCAATTATAATTTTCAACCGAATATTCCCGAGGTAATTATATATATCATTATGAAATTAAATTAGTGTAATTTATTTAATTGACATATATATATATATATATATATATATATATATATATATATATATATATATATATATATATATATATATATATATATATATATATATATATATATATATATATATATATATATATATATATATATATATATATATATATATATATATATATATATATATACACACACACATTAACAATGTCATATTTATTATTGGTTTTAGGGCATTTCACCCCGTCAACTCTATTTATCGTCACCGACTTATCAGATGGTTGGCAAGGGGAAAATGCATAATACTTTGGGAGAAGTACTTCACCATATATATATACACACACACATTAACAATGTCATATTTATTATTGGTTTTAGGGCATTTCACCCTGTCAACTCTATTTATCGTCACCGACTTATCGGATGGTTGGCAAGGGGAAAGTGCATAACACTTTGGGAGAAGTACTTCACCATAAACCTCTCCCTGCTGGATATTTGAAGTTATCAATTGATATTGCTTTAGAGGGGGGTGCGTTATTACCAATACCAGACGATGTTTCAGATGCAACATTGGTGGGAGAGGCAGTAGGTGCATATGTTGCATGGCCGTCAAGCCTCATTCGCGTAGATGATGAGGTATGCTTAAAACCATTATGAACCTTTGAGTATTCAAAGTTTTTACGAGCATTTTACGTACATTTTTTACATGGTAATATTAGACTCCTACAAAACCCAAATCAAAAGATAAGAGGATTATGTAGCAAACCGAGTCAGTTGCAACAAAAAAGAGGTATAACACAATTACATGATATTTATGCATAGAATGATCTTATACTTCACCTAACTGATTATATGTTATTTAGATGCATGCTAAAGAGATTGAACAAGTCAGTAGGGGTAAGAAGACCGCGGCTAGCAAAAAACCTACTTCTCAGTATAGGTCGTGCCTTCGGACATATATAGGAATAAAATATATTCCAATTGGTGGTACTCATCTTATACCTATGAAGGCATACATTTTTGGTTATAAATACATGGAAGAAATTGGTAGAGAAGATATGGATCAAGTTTTTCAACATTTGACTTTAGGCCTCGGTGTTTTCAATACATACATCAAGTATACTCCAATCAAATTTGTTTAATTAAATGAACAATTTATTTACTCATTTCAATGAATATAGTATAATTTTAATGATATTTTTATTTAAGGTTTATGTATGACAAAGTGATGCGCCCGCGTGGATTGGAAGAAAGATTCGTTTTCTTAGCTCCCAACATCGTCAACATAGGGTTAATCGTAATAAGACCAGATGATGTCATATTGTATTTACTCGATTTATTTATGGCCAGCAAAGATACATAAAATTTGTTCTTTTTACCATATAATACTGGCGACGGGTTAGATTTTCATCCTAACTTCATCTATTATAATTTTTTTGTTTTTTTTATCATTGTGTAGAAACTTTCCATCTAACATTTGTTTAATTTTATAGTGGACATTGGTTGTTTCTTGCTATTAATCCTGTAAGAGAAATTGTATACTATCTGGATTCGTTATACAATGATTGGATAACATACCCATATTTTAATGATTGATACGTAAGTCAGATTGTTCTAAATATTCGTGTGTATATTTATTTATCTATGTGAGATTGTTCTAAATAGTCGTTTATATTTTATTATAGCATTCTACAAGCTTTTCGATCACAAAGAGGTATTCAAGTACCAAAGAGTAGAGCCAACAACATTACGTAGATCAGAGTGCAGGTATATTTTTACAATTTTGATTATATTAGTGATGATACTTGATAAAACAAGTTAAGGGGTATATCCTGATATATATCTGTATTTTCTTTCTATGTGTAGTGTCCTCGTCAACGTAATGGTATAGATTGCGGTTATTTCATCTTGAGGTTTATGAAATAAATTCCTCTTTTGGACCAAATAGAGATTCTATCCACGATATGAATTTCTAACTTAGGAATTATTTTAATATTTCTCATAAAATGGCATAGTGTTTTAACTAAATCACATACTATGTTATATTACTATGCAGTACTTTGACGAATTCAATTATGCTAATTACTCAAAAGATCAAATGGATGAACTTATGGAGGAATAGTGTCAATTCATTATGGATTTGAGAATTTTATAAGGTATATTGTCTTTCTTTCATTGATGAGAATTTTGAGTATAACTTTCTAGTTTTGAGTATAAATTCAAATAAAGTTTTGTTTTATCATGGTATGAATTTCAATCTTTTGGTTTTGTTTCAGGTTATAGGTGCAGATGTAGAAGATAGAGCTAACAAGTTCATTGTTGTTGTTTTTTAGAAATTCTCGAAGATAGTAATATGTAGATTAAACATCAATTTAGAATTTTAAAATTTTCAAGTTGTATCATCAATTTTCAAGTTAGTATTGTATATATCATCAATTATATATATATATATATATGTAGATTTTTTTTATATGCAAATTTAATGCATATTTATTGGATTGAAACTACCAAATTTGGTGCAAAATATGGTGAAAACCTGGTGCAAAATCTGGTGAAAATTTATTGTAGATATTGGACAACGCTTTCTGTAAGTGAAAATAAGTCTAATATTTAAAAAAAATTGTGAACACTAGACAACGCTTAATGAGAAAAGCGCTGTCTAAAGTGGGGAAAAAGTGCTGCCTAAAGTGGGGAAAAGCGCTTCCCAAAATGGGAAAGCACTGCCTAAAGTGGGGAACAGACATCGCTTTTAAATAAAAGAGATGCCTAAAAGATAACCAAAAGCGCTTTCTAAAAGGAAAGCGTTGCTAAAGGGGTACTTACCAAAGCGCTCTCTAAAGAGAAAGCGCTGCTAAAGGAGTGCATAAGAAAACACTTTTAAAGTAAAAGTGCTGGATAAAGGGGACATATAGCAGCGATTTTACATTAATCTAAAGCGCTGCATTTACTTATAGCAGCGTTGGATTAGGCATCGCTTTAAAGCACTGTCAATGGCCAAAAAAAGCGATGTCTATATGCTTGTATGGCATAGTGATATCGGTCTACGCCGTACAGTTTCCACGATCTATTGCTACTTACCTAAGATGCCCCAGATCCGGGTATAAGATCTATACAAGAAGTAAACTCAAGCATATTCTGAAATATAATACATACAAGGCAAACAAGTAAAGCAATAAAGATGATATAGCTCTTAAGGTAACCCCACTTTTAAGTTGTCCCCAGCAGAGTCACCAGTTCTGTTGTACGGTGGGATAACTGAATTTTAGGTTTTGCGTTTTATCACAAATGTTACGGATAGTAAGAGTCACCATCGACTTTTCTTTTATCCAATAAAGGAAAGAATGAAAAGAACAGAAAAACCTTTTGAGAATTTTCTAAGTAAGGGGGTAGGTTATGAAAAGGGAAGGTGTAAGCACCCTTTTCATCAGTAGATATCTACGGGATCTTAATCGCTAGCTCACTTTGAAATACTTTATGTTTGTGTATGTTTGAAAATATTTTGAAAATGCCTAAGTACAACAAATTTGTAATGATTCTCGTATCGTTGAGAATGTATACAAAATGTTTGTTTTGAAAGTATTTATTTGAAAGAAAGTATTATTTTTGAAAGTGTGAAGTGTGAGAGTTGTTTTATTTTGTGAGAAAATCTACCTACTCAAAAAGTCTTTGTTCATTTCCTCCTCCTTTAGATAGTGATACCCTACTATTTGTTGGTAGGAAGCCCTATTATTGGATGTGAGGGACATGCGCGGTCATCGTACAGTCATAGAAGGCAACTCGTAGGATGCTTTAACAATTTTCGTAAGGGACTAAGCTCCTTTACCAAAGGCAACATCGAAAGGTCATCCAAGGACTACGATCTTTTAAATCGAAGGAATTTGCTAAAGCGTTCCATATTCAAGGGATATGACTGTTTTATCTGAAGGCAACAAACGAGGTTATCCTAGAGGTGTGTGTGTGAATAATGTTTTGATTTCAGCTAATTTGTTTTGATTAGGGTTATCTAGTGGTTGATTCTAAATCTTGTCATACACGCCTAATTACTATATAATTATAAGTAAAAGAGCTAAAATACGGAAATTAAATGTCCTACATTATTACAACATTTTGGGAATGGGGGTACAAGTTTATTAATGGGGATGTATCGAATCGAAAGTTCGATTAAAAGTCTAAATAAATAAATAATACAATCCAATCGAATTAAAAATAAAAAATTAATTAAACTAAAACAACCTATTTAATAAAATTAATTAGAAAAATAATTAATAATATTAAAATAATATTTTTAGTTTAATTATTTAATTGAAAAAGTATTTATATATTTTTTGTATTTTATTTTATAAAACAAATAACTAAACAAGATAAAACAGTAATAGAAAAAATATAGAGAAAATGAGGAAATGGGCCTGAGTTAAGCAAAAATTGGGAGTGTTGATAGTAGGGGGAAGTCCAAGTCCAGCTACAGGTCTGTGCAATCTGGTGTGGTTAACCAGCAAAGGTTTACTGTAGGCTAGCAGACCTGAAAAATTGCATGATGTTGATGATGTCCTGATAGAGATCTAAAGGTTGAAAGGACAAGGATGCATGGTAGGGATGATGGAAACATGCGCACAGAATCAAGAGATTATCACCTGAACAGAGACAAGTATCCCAATGGTGGCGACACTTGTCACCACCGGACCAGCCAACCAAACCAACATAATAATAATCAAAACGAACAAATTATTATTAACATGTATTAAGAAAATATTAAAGGCAGAAAAAAAATTCTCAATCCTCTGTCTCTCGCTCTACTCCACCCTTCATTCTCTGTCTCAAACATTAAACAAACAAAATAGACTCAAAAAGTAAATCAAACACATATGGTTATGAAGAACATAAACGGTGGCTCGGATGAACAAGGAGGCAGAGTACGGCGGCGATCTTGAAGATCCACGGCGGAGATGATGAACCTGACGTCGGGGCCGTCCTAAAAAGGTTTGATCTCAAATCTTTTTTACACTTTCTTACTCGTCTCCTTCTCTTGAAGATTAATCTCTACTTCGTTTTTTCAGAAACATCATAAAAAAGATAGATCTAGAAGAGGTGAACCGGAACCCTAAGATTTCTACTTGATCTGTAATCTCAGAATAACAAACAATCAGTGAATTACGAGCGAAACATGAATAAAAGAAGGAAAAACTACCCAAGTCGGTCTCTAAATGGTGAGAAATAGATTTTTTATGACAACAACAGTGATGTTCGTGGCGTCGCAAAGAAGTGTTCCGGCGTGACCTTTAGGCTGAAGTGAAGTAATTACTTTTCTTTTTCTTCTTCTGAGAACTCAAATATTTCTGAAGGATTCTTTTTGAAAGGAAAATGATGATCGTATTAGATTAGGGCTTCGCGCAGCTTTTGTGAACAATTTCCTTCCTCACCTTGATTTCAGTGCAATGATTCTTTTTTTATTGAGACATTCTCTAGGGTTTTTCTATGTTGGTTCTGAAATGTTAACAGGCTTGAACGATTTTATTTGGGCTTTCGCCATTGTGTTTCTGTTATGAAATTTGTTGATATGAGAACTTGCTTATTGGGCTGGCATTTTGTGATTCTGTTTGCATTTGTTGATTCTTGATTTTACTATAGTTATTTGTTTGGTTGAGCTGAGATGTGAAACCCTTTTTTACTGTCTTTACTGTGAACCAAATGAACCTCCCTTTTATGTTTGTTTGAGATTTGCAGTAGGAGAAATGGGCCTATGATTAGCATTTGAAATCTGATTTGAAATAAGCAAATATGAGGCTGTTGTTGTTGTGAACATGATTGAAAACCTACCCTATATTCTTCTGATTCCTGTCACAAATCCCTAATGATGAGTTGTGAAATACTTGTGTGAAAGCCTTGTGTATTTTCAAATTTGTGATTGTTTTTCACTAATCATGCCTTCTTTCCTTGTTTCATCTACCGTTTGAACAATGTTGGTGATGATTGAGCATGAACGAGGAAGACTCAGAAGAACTCGAAGGTGTGTCTCGGCCACAGTTGGAGTTTGGAGGATGCAAGTATAGAATCAAGAGACTAAGATGTACTCGATTTCTTAGATTTTAGGACAAATATCAAGAAAAATCTCTTATGATGAATGTGTACCCAATTGAGTTCTGATTCAAATGTAGAACTTGTAGATCTTATAGAACTTTTATTTTTGAATGAGGATGAATTTTGAAACTTGTATGGAAAAACGTGGTTTGGATTCTAGAAATGAATCTTGAATGAAAAATGAATCTTTGAAATTGAGATAAAATCTTAACATTTTCAATTGTCATTTGAACTTGAATTCTTGAGCAAATATGAACTTGCTTATTTCACCAAGTCAAAACCTCTCTTATTTCCACATCAACAAGGTTCAAAAGTCTTGAGGGCCGTATTGCAAACAAAACAAATTTTCTCTTAAGTTCCAAAGAAAAAACTTTGAATGAAAACTTAAAGGAAAGATGTAGTAATGAACTTTGTAGTGAGAATGGATAACATAAAGTGATGATCAAATGAAATGGGCTTCAAACAAAATTAAATCCAAATTCAAACCAAACTTGACTTTCATGTTTTAATTTCAAGGAAAATGATAAGATTCTATTGAGACTAAGAGACTCCCAAGAATTGTGACTAAACCCCACATCAAGCTTCACCACAAACCAAATAATCGATTGTAATTATCTTGAAAGTGCCAAATGGTGAGGCTTAAACCTAATCTCCTTAACTTGAGATGCACATTGAAAGAGAAAACAATTTGAGATGTTGAAACCAAAATCTGATTCAAAACCTTGGCAAACTTGAGAAGAATAGCCTTGTGTAGTTGAAAACCCTAAGAGAATGTCTTGAAGAAAAGGGGGGGCAAATTTTGGGGTACAACACCTAGTTATGGACACATTGCTTAGAAGGAGAATTTGTTTGATAAATTCTTGAGCCACCTTGAGTATTTGAGAACCTATGAGAAAATCTTGTATGAGAAATGGGAGGGAAAATTTTGGGGTACAACAAAGACTAAGCAATTTTCTTTTAGAACATAATTTTACTAGAGGAAATGTGGATACTAATGTTTTATGTAACATGTTCAAAAATGATATTCTAGTAGTTCAAATATATGTTGATGATATTATATTTGGTTATAGTAATGCTACCTTGTGCAAGGTGTTTGCTAAGTCTATGCATGCTGAATTTTAGATTAGTCTGATGGGAGAACTCAAGTTATTTCTAGGTATCCAGATCAACCAAAGTCTAGAAGATACTTTTATCCATCAGAGCAAGTACACCAAAGAACTTTTGAAGAAGTTTGGCATGTCAAAATGCAATAAAGCCAAGACTCCAATGTATCATACAAGTTTTTTGGAGAAGGATGAGTGTTGTACCCTAATTTTTTACCTAATATCCCACCTCCCTTTTCATCATTTGCATAATATCAAAAGATCATCTCATTCATATTTGCATCCATTAACCTTATGAGATTGCAAAGATATGCTTTGTTTATTGCTTGTGCAAGGTAGGTTAGATGATCCAACAATTGGTTGATCAAAGTGCATGTGTTTCTCATATATTCAATCCTCTCATTCATGGTGATCACGTAAGCATCATATCTACCATAACTTCATCATATTAGAGTTTCATTGGATTTATCAAGTGAGTTAAGGTTTTGGTCCCTCAGACGAAAATAAGGGATTTAGGGTTGAAGGTATCCAATTGTGTATCACTCAAGGATTCACCTTATCATCATATTATGAACTTTAAAGACATCTCAACATGCTAAGGGTTGCACCATAATCAAGGGTTTCCATTGAAATTGGACAAATTGGATTTATCTGGTACTAAGTCAAACTTCAAAGTCAAACTTTGACTTTTTGAAGATTTTGATCAACCATGGACTTATCAAGCCAAGGGTCGTCAAAATATGATTAAGTAAGTAATTTGATCAAGTTAAATGAAGGAAATCAAGAGAGAAAATCAAAGATCAAAGATTAGGGTTTTAAAAAATTTACTAAGTCTTTTAAAAATTCATGTTCAAGTATGCTACATAGCAAATCTTGTAACTTCTTCATCAAGTAACCATTTTTCTTGATCCAATACTCAAATTAAAGAGAATGTTTCATACTACAACTTTATCAATGAGGGTTCATCTCCATAAAATGCATAAATCAAGAGATATGAGTCCATGAGGTCATTACTTCATTAACCAACACTTAGAGAAAATTTTCCAGCATTCAGACCTTATCAAGTAGCTGACTTTATAGCCATTTTTAACCAAGATCCAAATTTATTCAGTCCAAGTTCTTAATGTGAAAGTTGTAGAGGATGTTTCCAGCTTTCTAAAGAGTCCAAGAGCATGAATTTATCATACTTGAGCAAGGAGTTTTAAAAAGATAAAGTAGCCATGGTAGAGAGGTTTTACAAGGTAGATTTATGGTTCAAAACTCATGTGAAACCAACCAAATCCCATATAATCTTGCTTTGAAGATCCTTGTTGCTTCTAATATCAGTTTAAATGATGTTTTACACAAACCTTTGGTGGATTACATAAGAAGTTGAGCCATTGTCCAATTCATGATACCATATTTGGAAGAAATTGCAAAAAGCTCCATATCCATTTGCATAAAGATGAACTTTTTCCAATAACTCTTGCTTGGAGCTTCTAAGTTGTTCTTTTGAGAAAACTTCACCTCTACAACTCAGAAAAGTCATCCATATTACCCTTGACACAAGCAATTATCCATTGGAACATTACCTTTCATGAAACTACCACTTGAAATCCAACCAAACCAAGAGCTTTACAAACTTTGTTTTCTTCATCCTTAAGCCACCTTAATTTATTTATAAATAGAGGCCCTCATTTTTATTGCAAACACACGTAATTATTTCCCTCAAACACCCAAACACATAAAGAAAACCATAAAAACCCCATTCTTGTTATAAAAAAAAAACCTTAAGCTCGGTTTCTTCAATCCTTTCAAGTTTCTTTCAAAATCTCGATTCAAACACCATCCACACAACATATAGAGGTTATTGTATGCATTGAATTGCATATGTAATCACTAAATCACTATACTCGAATCACACCCTTTGACACTTGCAATTTGAGTTGTTTGGAACAGTTGATGAAGTTTCAAGGCATTATATCCATTGTAAAATGTTACTGGAGCATCAAGGGTGTTAAAGAGATCATTAGTTCTCATCTGGAGCCATTAAAAGAGGCATTGAACCTTACTCAAATAGGTGAATTTTTCTTGATTTTGAATTCACTCACACAAGCATCATTTTGAATATTTCTTGATAATGTTCTACTTGTTTAATTGCCATGAATAAATCCCCTAGGAAAATAGGCATTGGTTGAACTTGTGTGCAATTTAATTTAACTTTTAAAAAATTAGGTTTTTCTGGTTTTGATTAAAATTCGTTTGATACAGTGGATATAGATTAATTTTAAGCACATTTTCGAATTCCTTGTGAAATTTCAAGCAAGTTAGCTTTTTACACTTTTGAGTTTTGTTGAGAAATGACGAAGTTGGAATTTTCACCATTATTATTATTATTGTTACGGTTACAGTAACGATGAGAAAGATGAAGTGTGGTGCAAAATTTAGTTTTAAAAGTTAAGTTTATTTTATATTTAGTTGAAATTGTTATATCAATGAATTAGCATCGAACCCCAGTGGAGAGAGCGCTGGTTAAAGACACTCTACGTACACAAGAATGTAGGTTCAATCCATAGTGAACCCCCCCTTTTGCATTTTTCCTTCATGTTTGTTTTGTCATGTATTCAATGGGTTATTTTAAATATTATTCAATGAACTTGTGTTATTAACACCATAAGGGTGTGGCTTAGTGATATAGATTTTAACTTTCAACCTCGAGGACCTCAATTCAAGCCTTGGAAACCACCAACCGTTATTTTTATCACTTGTTTATTTCTTTTATTTTTTTCTTCTATTTCTTTTTCTTATTATTTTCTTTTTAGTGTTAGTTTAACCTATTTTATTTCCTCCCTTAGTTTTATTTTATCAATTTTAATATTAAAACACCAAAGATATTTTATTTATTTATTCAAAGCTTTGATTTTATTTTTATATTTTTTAAACATATTAGTTATTAAA